TACATGCAGGGTCCAAGTCATTTGCAAGGCTTCTCCTTATGTACAGAAAGCAGACCACATCCCAAAGGCAGCTACTCAGCTGCTTGTGGTAGATCCCACCGTGGAGTTGATTGCCAGTCTCATCATGGGGAATAACTACCACCAGGTGCCCAGCCACTCAACCAGGCCCAGCCAAGATGACATACAAATGTAACTACCACAGACACTCTGACAGGAATATACCACAAATGGGATGGCTTGAACAAACAGGAGTTTGTTCTCTTGCAGTTTGGGAGGCTAGAAGTCCAAGTTCAAAGTGCCAGGGTCTAGGGGCTGGGTGAAAGCCCTTCAACCTTGGGGTCCAGCTCTGCCTTCTGCTCCCGGCCCATAGGAGCTAGAGGCTTTTCATCGCTCAGACAGCTGCTGGCTGCCGAGGAGGATAAACCCAAGGTTGACAAGTGAAAAGGCACAGTGCCGATGTTACCAGACCACACAGCAGGCCATTAATTTAAGTCCATTGTAAGTCCCAAGGTCAGCAGAGCATGGCAGGCTGCTGAACAACAACACGGCTACATGCAGAATCCAAGCGTGCCATAAACTAGAGACCATTCTCCAAGGCTTCTGCTTATATATAGGAAGCAGACCAAATCCCTAGGGCAGCAGCTCAGCTGCTCACAGTAAATTGCACCATGGAGTTGAATACCAGTCTCATCACGGGAATACTACATCCAGCTGCCCAGCCACTCAACCAGGCCCAGCCAAGCTGACACACAAACTGAACTACCGTAGTATTATAATGAAATGCTGATGAGGCATGAGATCATAATGGGAAGAAACAGTTACAAACATCCATTAATAGTCAGTGTGTGGAATGTATGAAGTATGAGTTAGAAAACCAGAAGGGAAGAACACGCTTGGCATTTCTCAATCTGAAAGAACTGAAGAAAAAATTCATGACTCAAATTGCGGTACTGAAGGATTCTATGGGGAAAATATTGAATGATGCCGGAAGCATCAAAAGAAGATGAAGGAATACAGAGTCACTGTACAAAAAAGAATTGGTCGATGTTCATCTGTTTCAGGTACTGGTATATGATCAAGAACCAATGGTATCAAAGGAAGAAGTCCAAGCTGCACTGAAGGAATTGGCGAAAACAAGACTCCAGGAATTGTTGGAATACTTACTGAGATGTTTCAACAAATGGATGCAGTGCTGGAGGCGCTTACTCTTTTATGCCAGGAAATCTGGAAGACAGCTAGATGGCCAGCTGACTGGAAGAGATCGATATTTGTGCCCACATCAAAGAAAGGTGATCTAACAGAATGTGGAAATTATCAAACAATATCATATGTAAGTAAAATCTTGCTGAAGATAATTAAAAAATGATTGTAGCAACATTGATAGGGAACTTCCAGAAATGCAAGCTGGATTCAGGAGAGGACTTGGAATGAGCTGATATCAGATGATCTTGTCTGAGAGCAGAGAATACCATAAAGATGTTTACTTGTGTTTTATTCACTGTGCCAAGGCATTCAACTGTGTGGATCTGTGATAGTTAGAGTTCTGTGTCAACTTGGCTGGACCACAATTTTGAGTGGTTTAAGCAGTTGTGATGTGGGTTTATTCCCATGATGAGACTGGATGTATATGTTTTGAGCAGCTAATCTGTTGAAAGGGAGTTTCCCTAGGGGTGTGGCCTGTTTGCAATATATTTATGGACATCCTGGGAAAAAGAGACACTTTTCTGTGGATTGGGATCCTGTTGTGCTGCTTACAACTGTCCATGAGTGAACAATCCACCATTCGGCCTGGAGATCTTGGATTTATCATTTCTTGGAGTCAGCAGCTGGTATGTTGTTGTTG